TCCAATAACATTTGTGCCTGCATGTTTGTCATAATTACTAAAATAAAGTCATAGTTTCCAAGCCTATAAATGTCCTCGCTGTTTCTCCTTGATCCAATTGGCTACACTTCTTGAATCATTTTTATTTCTAAAGGTATCATATGGTGGTAACACCCGCCTTTTTATATTCCATAAATCTTTCTTGGTTATCATGGAAGCTCTCATTGGTAATTTTTTGTTATAACAATCTTCCCGTACGTTGTTTATAATGAAGTCATCATCTACTACGCCAGCTATAATTTGGTGCATATATTTTATCAAATTTTCATGTCCCACATGTGTCTCCCAGTAAACAGCTTCAACATGTCCGTCATTATACACCTTGCACATAATTCGTGAGGGACAAGCATGCCCAATTTTTTTGCTACCCCTCAAGCATGTTTCCTTTGTTTGGTGACTGTGTGATCGATGGCAATTATAATATTGAATGGTGCAGCAATTGTCTTTTGTTATGTATGCTGCAGTGTCCTTCACATATGACGTAATACTGTTCTGTTCCATCTCAGTTTACATTCATCATTATCATACTATATTTATACAAATCCATTTTAAGCAATGTTACATAAATATAGAAATATTACTGGCATTGCAATACATTCTTGGTGATTTTAATCTTCAACAGTGCTGTTCTTCTTGTTATTTGTTTGGTTTTGTTTGTGATATTTTTCCCTCGTTACAAATTGAATTCTCTTGCGCATAATTTTAATTATATATATATATATATATATATATATATATATTTATTTATTTATTTATTTATTTATTTATTTATTTATTTAATTAATTAATTTTATACATACTTCTTATTTACTTGATTTATCATATTGGTACTTATTTAAATTATATTTATTTCTATAATAATATTTTCAAAATTTTTATGTGACCTCATATACTTATTGCATATGTATTAACATCAAGTTTCATTTTTGGCTTATTTTAAAACCTACTGCTGTTAATACCCTGTTTCTAAATCTGTCACTGTTTCTAAATCTATGCTACTGTTTCTAAATCTAAGTTCATTTATTGTTTAGTTTGCTAATAGACTTCATGTTTATTATGTTTTCATTATTAATCCATTTAATATCGACTAATCATGACATACATTCTTTCCTTATTCTTATCTTATTTAATTTTCACTACAAATATTTACAATTTTGAATCTGTGATGCCAATATGAATGTTGAATATCAACACATCGAAAATGTAAATTACCTCAAATTTGTGGTAGCGGGATTTATATACTATTTTTTGGAGCGTTGGAGTATAGGAAAGATAAAAAAGTTAAGCTGTTACTGTAAATCATGGAGAGCTTTAATATATAATATCAAAGCACTTTTAGTATTCATGGAGGTTACATGTTTGCAAGATTTGATCAAATGATGACACTAAACAAAACATATCCAATATTTGTGAGAGTATATCACTAGGATCAATATATTGCAAATATAAATTAATAAATAAAATATTGTAATTATTGTTTTGAAGTAGCTGTTGGATACTCCAAACTGAGGAAATACAAAATATTTTCAGAATTTCAGAATGAGAAATGGAATATTCAGGAGTATTGATTGTACTTCGTGTTACCTTATTGCAAATATAATTATAGCATTGCAAATAGCAAAATATTACCTGCAATTGTAATCATGATGGAAAATATTGATAGACATAGAAAATTATAAATCAAGGCAAATCAAATTATAGAATAGAGTAATTTCAAATAACAAAAGAAATATCAATTACAAGTGTATAATTGTATATTGCATATAATAAGAATGGAAACACATAGGCAGATATTAAAAAAGTATTAAGCTTCATCAATCAACTACCATGTACTGCATATTTAAAAAAAAAAACCTTTGAAGTGTTATATTTTATCTATCTATAGCTCCAATTTTGAGTGGCCTGAGTTTTCAATCAAAGTGAGATAAACTAAAAGATCCTAACAATGAAAGAACAAATAACTATATTTGATTATAAATGGATAATTATCCTGAAACAACATTGTGTTGAGAAAATAAATATTCTACTTTGGCATCACTATATATTCAAAAGAAGTAAATATGCTTTAATATAATGTATTTCACTATTAATTATTTTGCTAATAATGAATGTGCCGATTAAATTTTAACTATATCATGATTCTGACTAAAATGGAGTAATATTCTGAGATTTTCTTGTGTGATATAGCTTGTAATGATATATTATTTATGGTGTTGTGATTCTTATTCACCTAAATGACTTTATCTATAACATAACTCGCTACTTATGTGTTCACATGTGTTATTCTTTGCATTTAATGCTGTAAATAATTTAATTATCTTCATAACTAACTATTATTGATGTTTGCTTTATTTGCATAATTCATTTAAGCCATTCATTCAAGTTATGGAAATGTGTTTCAAATTGTAAATATCTATACATTATATAGCTTTGCCAGTATCATAACATACTGCTTATGTGTGCATTTTTGTGTCTAACGACAAATAATTTAATTATGCTAATTAAATGTGATTGGTATTTGCTTTATTTGCATAAATATATTTTTTATACCATGCTTTAACAATATTATGGAAATAGGTTTTAAATTGTAAATATATGTATATTAATATGTTCTATAATTTCAATAAATTTTTATTATTATAAATGAATAGTTTTTCTTCTTTTATAAAAAACAGTATATTTTTGATAAAAAAAACAATGCTAAAGCTTATGTTAACGCATTAATCTTTTATTTGTTGACCAAAATAAGGTTCAATTTTTCAATACCATATGTACTGTTAATTTTATAAAAAGGTTGGAAATAATTTCAAATGCCTGAACAAAACTTTGTGGCACTTACAGAACTCCACCTTATTGATTGAGAATTTAACAAATTTCAGCTATATAAATGCACGTCACAACTATTTCGACAGATTATTATTCACATTTTTATATGACAAGAACTTTTTCAGAGAAAACAGTTGTACGTTTATTTAACTTACTGAATAAAACTTCTTATATAAGTACTACATTTTACCACTTTCAGACTTAATATGATTATTGCTATATACTATGACAGTACTAAATCCTCTACGTAATATTATGATCGTAGAGAAAAATTAAATATATATAATATATTGATATACATTAATATATGAGAGCTGAAATTAAATTGTAACTGTCACATTGACGTCTATGAACTGTCATTATGTACTAGGGTTATTTACACTTTTATATTGGTACGCCTGCTTTGTTTGTCACCTCTTCATGAAGTATACTGTCGTGTCAAAAAATGGCCGCCAGTGACTGCATGAGGAAACCGTGTG